TTTCTTTCTTTACAAATTAAAAAATTCTTTTCTAGAACTAAAATATACGCATTGGTCTTACATGTCTGTGAGTTGGAGTTTATATCGAGAATGGAAAAAATTTTTGAAATTGAGATCTTTACCATTTTTCAGTTCAATAGCGTCTAGAGTTGTCAACATCATGACAATATTTGAGCAGACTTTCAAAATGTGTTTTGTCCGAAATTTATAATTTTCAGAAAATGAGAAAGAAAGCCACAAGGAAACTACGCGCCTTACAGAAAATAACAATTTGCCAATTAGATTAAGATGTAAAATGTTAAACAAAATTGTCAAACTATTTCTAATAATATTAAACAAATGTATTTTGTTTGTCTCTAGTTAAAGGACATAATGCATTTCGAATGTCTAGACTTTTTTCAGCACATAAATTGATTGTGAAAAAATGCTTTCAGAACGAGAGTAGCATAAAATATGAGTCTTTTAACATTAAAAAATAAAATTTTAGACAAAGTACATTTTGGAAGTCTCATTTGCTTGATATAAAAGCTCTGCAATATGTATTTAAGAACAGCATAAAAGTATTAATAAACTCAAAATTAACAAAATATGAGACAGTTCAATGAGCGATCAACGCAGGTCACAATGCGCAATAAATTTAATAAATTATAAAATTGATACATTTTTTATATTCTCTCTGAATATAAACTTATTAGACATCCAAAGGATGACTGTTAAGTCTATGTTTATTGAGGAGGGCTTCAAAGTGAGTTGAAACATACTGATTATGTAATTGATGGAATAATGGAATAATGCGTCTGCATTTTATTACTTTGCGTACCGTCGACAACGCGTACTGTCCTCACTCTTTGTGATCCACATTTTGTTTAAATTTGGAGAGTCTGTAAGAAGATTACAGTTTCGAATATTCTAAATGCAAAATTTTGTTTTTTCGAAATTTTGTATTTAGAATTTAAAATGTATCAATTTCATAATTTGCTAAATTTACTGCGCGTTGCTACCTGCGTTATATTTTCATTGGCCTGTTTCATGTTTTGTATTGACGAAATTATAGTTCACGGACTACTAGTTTATATAAACGAACAACATCAAGTTCTTAAAATTAGATTTAAACGCTTCGTTGCTATAAAATTGTTACACGAAAATTTATGCGTATATATGCATGTAGTCATTTTTTAGTCATTGACGATTCATTTTCACGTAATTTTGACGTCATAACCTGTTTTTCTGTTTGGAAAATTATTTACTTTTACCTTGAAATTTAATTTTGGAGACTCGCTTTTAGAAAGAATTATTTCATTAGAATATGGATGAAGGATCTCATAATACTGTGCCTTTTATTTTATCTTGTATGATTTTTATTTGCGAAAAATCTCCGAGATCTCCACCGCGTCTGATCTATTTGACAACGGCGCTGCATATTGCTCGTAACTGAGCGGCAAAATGAATTCTCCAAAAACTTCTATTCTACATTTTCCAATGTGTTATCTGGGAAAGAAAAAGATAATCTAATGTATTTTAAGAAATTTTAAAATTGTAAATATAAAATTTAACATTCATAATTATAATTAATCTATTAAACTCAAATATTTATGTTGTAATTAATACTGTTTTTTTGTTGGTAAGTTTCGATAGTAAATGTATTAACATTAGCAATGGATAAAAATATGACCCGCAAATTTTCTGGTATCTTAATAAATCTGTAAAATTATTATACAGTGTGGCTCCAAATTTTGGCCCCACCCGTCTTGAGTAGGTGAGGAGAGCGGACTAAACTGAGTCGAAAAGTCTTGTAGCATTTTGCAATGCTCACAATAGTTAACGAGATATTAACGTTTAAAGACAGCCGAATACGTGCGTCCTTTCGATCTACTATTGCCGATCGCACGGCGCGCGGGGAGTGGAGCAAGTGCACTGCACACCGCCGCGAGCCTCTAAGCTCGAACGGCGCGACGCGCGGGACCAGCGTTGCCAACCTCCGCATTATTAAAAATCGTACCAACAATACAAAATTATCGTATTTTGATTAAAATTATCGTACATTTTTTGTTGTTAAATAGATATACATATTTATTAGGTCTGTTCGCGTTGCTTGCACTTTTTGCATTCAGCATCTTCGCTTTCTCTTTTTTTAACGCCCAAATATATCTATCTCATTTTAAGTATAAAAATTTTTGGGTTTTAAGCAACGCAAACAGATCTATATTGAATAGATATATTTTTTAATGAAAAAAAAATAACAATACTGAATATTTATAAATATTTATTTTTAAAATTAAAGTTTTTAATTTTAAAACAAAGAACTTGTAATTATAATCTCACTAGAAAATTCTTTTAAGTATTACATTTATAAGTTTTCTTCGTTATACATAAATTATATAAATTATAAAACACTAGGGAACATTTTTTAAAATTTTAAGTACATAAATATTTACTTAACTTTGGTTATATGTAATAGGAACTA